AGGGGGGGGGGTCCTCAGATAAGATATTGATATGGTTCTTGTTATGTCCTCAGCTCAATTATTGATGGCGGCCACCTGAAATGGAAGGGTGAGCCCTATCATCCTTATCACTTCAACTGTCACTCTTGTGGGTAAGTTCGCTATATTGCTTTGGCCACATGGTTTTTGCAGATTGTGAAGTGGGAATGGTTGTCATTTTGAGGATTCATTCACCTTAACTTTTAGTGAGCATCAATCTTTGCTTTACAATTTATTAATTGATTTACTTGAGGGGGGGGGGGGGGTCCAATTGTGTTGATGGAGGTTTAAAACATTTCCAATTACAATCACAATAAACTTCTTTTCCTCTGCTCCACCTCCTTCTCAGAAGATGCCTTTTTCTGTTGTTCTGTTTCCACCCTGTCTCTCTGTCAGAACCAGCCTGGACACAGTGGTATACACTCGTACTTGGGGTCAAACTCACAACTTTAAGTCCCCCCACCCCCTTCTCTCTCTCTCTCTCTCTCTTTCTCTCTCTCTTCCCCTCTCTCGCTCTCTCTCTCTCTCTCTCTTTCTCTCTCTCTCTCTCTCTCTCTCTCTCTCTCTCTCCCTCTCCTTCTCTCTCTCTCCCTCTCCTTCTCTCTCTCTCTCTCTCTCTCTCTCTCTCTCTCTCTCTCTCTCTCTCTCTCTCTCTCTCTCACAAGGTATGGACAATGACGTTATCATCTTGTCCTTGGCCACAGGTGTGAGCTGAAGGAAGACGCCCGTGAGAAGGACGGGAACTTGTACTGCCTGCGCTGTCACGACAAAATGGGCATCCCGATCTGTGGCGCGTGCCGTCGGCCCATCGAGGAGCGGGTGGTGCACGCTCTGGGCAAGACCTGGCATGTGGAGGTGAGCACAGCACGCGGTGTTTCAATTGTCTTAAACAGACAGCCCCCCATTGTGGAGGGGACATATGGCCACTGTCTTAGGTGGAGGTCTTACACAGTGTCATGTGGGAAATGAACAAGCAGACAAACTCGCCAGCCATGCACCTGTCAATACCGACACTGAAATTAAAATGTTCAAAAATGATGTCATGAAGGCCCTTGCCATTACCACACTTGCAGATGAGGAGATTGAGCAGGACTATACGCCAATCTTACGACTTGAAGAACTGGGTGTCTTCAGAGGAAATGGCAGTACCAGCATGGTACAGGGGATGGAAAGACAGGCTATTAACCAAATGAACACAGGAACAATCAGCAGATGGACTCTGAGGTTGATATTGGAGCGGGGAGCGGAGCACGTATGGCAATGCCCAGAGTGCTTTGATGTTGTTCCCAGGATCAAGTAATCAAATTATAATGTGTATAAAAAAAGCCAAAGTCAAATTCCACCTCCAAACAAACTCCGGGGGAGGGGGAGAGTCAGTCAGAAGTAGCAGTTTGTGGAGATGATTGTAAAATACAAGTGGCTGTTAACCCCTTCACTGCCGGCTATGAGATACTTAACTGTGCCGGGGAAAATTGCTCCAATTACTACAAGCGTCACATTGAGCCCCTAACTCAGAAACTCAATAGAAAACATTATCATCGCTGTTGCAGTCATTCATACTTTCGTCTAGAACTTCTGCAGCTAAAAATGAAGGTCGATAGACTGGTTGGTTGGATGCCATTGCGAAAAGCAAAAAAAAACGAAACGTAAACACAACTCAAAACGTCAACACTTCACTTCTTCAAAACAATGAAAATGCCGCTCAGATTCACGGGAGACTACTGTATTATCAATGAGGATTAGTCGTGACACAGTTTTGTCCCTTTAATTAGCGGGCACATGGCACAGGGAAGCACTTCTTGGCCTGATGAATCAGCGGGCCGTGGCAGTGAAGGGTTTTGGCCTGATGAATCAGCGGGCCGTGGCAGTGAAGGGTTTAAAGCAGATTTGGCTTGACTGTATTTAAACCTGTGTAGACCTGAATGGTTTCATGGTGGGTACTAATCACACAGAAGGATGATTCCTTTCTCTCCGTTCAGTTTTTTTTCTAAATATTGGTCATTTTGATGTCTGCTCTGGTTATTTTGATGTGGGACAAGTTTGACTGTCTACAACTAAATGTTCTGTCTGTTGTCTTGATATTGTCAAGTGCTTTGACCTTGCTGTTGAGCGGAAGTTTGTGCTATACAAATGCTATTACTGTTATTATTATTATTATTATTATTAATGTTATATTTTTCCCCTTGGTGGTAAGACGATTGCCTTGATGATATGCATCTTTTTATTACAGAGTAGGTCATCATGTGGTTTGTAAATGCTGTCTTTTTGTGTGATCCTTCTCTTTATTTACAGTGGCTTTCTCATAGCACAAGTAGTTGTAGGGTGCCACTGGTATGTCCTCCTTTTTCGTTCTCCCTGTATTATTTCTGTCATCTGACTTTTCTTTTGCCCAAATCAAAATGATTGTTATTGTGTCAATGTGGTTCTCTTTGCTCCAACAAATTTCTTCACATTGTCTCTCTCTGACTGAATGTATCTATGCTTGTTCTGATGGCTTGTGTACTCCCAACTCATTAACAATAAGCATGTTATTTTAAATTCTTTTTATGTAATGCATAATGTTAGCAAGCCGTTCAGCTGTGATTCTGTATATCCCCAGCACTTTGTGTGTGCCAAGTGTGAGAAGCCCTTCTTGGGTACTCGCCACTACGAGAAGAAAGGCTTGGCCTATTGTGAGATCCACTATCATCAGGTAAAGGCACCAGTGTTGGGGGTTGATTTTACTGCATCGTCTAGTGTTATTATGTAACAGAGGTTTATCTGCATGTCCTCAAAGGGGTTTTATTCTTAAGTACCTACACCTCATGGTATGTATAAATCAAAAGCTTGACAACAAAATTACTGGACGAACTTGATTTTACTGTACGTGTGCTTATTAACCAAAACAGACTTTTTAAATCAATCTGAAATTTCTTAGGGCGGGCTGAGAATGTCAACTGTGATTGATGTTTCTGGAAATTTGAATCCAAAACATTTTTTGCGCCCCACATTTTATATGGTGACGAGGAGATTACGTCATTTTACATCTTTTTAGGATAACTCAGTAAGTTATAGAAATCTTCCAGTCTCAGTGACATCTCTTTATGGAGTCTACTACATTTACAAACATGGTTTTATCAGTCTCGAGACATACTTTAAAAAAGAAAATACTGGCAGTAGAACATGGTTGCTTGGATCACCTGTGTGTTTGGATTAATTATGTTGGTCTGACAGCTGGGATACAAATAATAGGATTTCCTTGCTATAGAAAGCACTGGAGCATCAAGAGGAAATTCAGAGTAAGATGTGGGTGGTGCACAGATACTGTGGTGTGGTTTGTTGTCAAACATCTATCATCCTTATCTCCCCTTCTCCAAGTCTTTATTTGTATGTTACTCTCTTAGTCTCTAGTAACACTTTTAATCTTCAACACTTATATATATGACCTATTTGTGTTGCAAGTGCTGTAAAACTTTTACTGAGAGTTAGATGGTGGTTTGTGTCTGAGGCTATCAATGTGTCCATCACATTTTGATTGTCACATCTGTATGAGGCTTTCCAGTATACTGACTTTGTTTATAAATAAAGTGTGATAGGTTCAGATGCTATGTTCTGTCAGGAAATAGATAAATGTAAATGATTCAGGATTGCCCAACACGATTTCTTGGTGAAAGTATGCTCTTGTCTGTACCTATGTCTGCATTCTAAGCTCTTATACAGATGTCTAGAATCTTGGCTCGCACAAATTAACTAATGTTGCTGTTATTGTTTTTCCTTTTCTTCCATCTGATCAGCTGTTTGGCAACATCTGCTTCGTGTGCAACAACATCATCAATGGGGATGGTAAGTGTTGATAGGTTGTATAGATAACTATTGTCTATCTATGTTGTGTGTGTGTGTAACCGTGGGTCTGTTTGTGAATGCAAACATGAATATTGTGTGTATGTGCTTACATGTATGGGGAAGAGGGGATGTATGAGGGAGTGCTTCCCAGGAAGTAGAGATTGTTTCAGAATGCTATCAGGTCTACTTGTGGAAATGATATAGATTGTAAAGCATATAGAGCTTGCTGTTGAGCAGGAATTTGTGCTATACAAATGCTGTTTATTCTTATTCTTATTATGTTTGGATAGGTGTATGTGTTTGTTCTTTGTTACCTGTATAAAGTGGGCTCTAACAAATATTTTGACTTTTCAGTGTAAAGGCTCCATTATAC